AGTTCAGTGCCTCCATTTTCACATATATCATATTCTAGTTTGACAGTTATTTTTCTCAACACTTAAAGATGCCATTCTATTGTTTCCCTTGAAAAGTTAGCTGCTGTTGTTACCATGAGTCTTTTTTGCTGGGTTGTTTTCAAGATTTTCTTTTAGCTTTTGGATTTCAGAAGTTTGACTGTGATGTGTCTAGTTGTATTTTTGTTTTGTTTGTTTGTTTGTTTTAATCTTGCTGGTATCTGTTTAGCTTCCTGAATCATCTGGGACTTTAGTCAATGTTGGAAAAGTCCCAGCTGGAGTCTCTTCAAATATTACTTTTGCCCTATTTTATCTCTCTTTTTTCTGGACTCTAATTAAACATAAGTTAGACATTTCACTATGTTCATATGTCTCGTACACACTTTTGTTTTTTCATCTTTTCTTTTTTTGTGCTTCAATCTAGACTATTTTCTACTGACTGATTATGATAGGTAGAATTTTAATATGGCTCCCATGACCTTTGTCTTCTAGGGTTACTTCCATGATTATGTTATCTACGTGTAGACATACATTCTCAACTCTTTGGATATATACCTAGAAGTGGGACTGCTGGGTCATATGGTAACTATGTTTAACCATATGATAAACTGCCAGACAGTTTTCCAAAATGGGTGCACTATTTTACAGTGCTACCAGCAGTCATGAGGCTTCTCATTTCTTTGCATCTTCACCAGCACCTGTTATTAGCTCTCTTTTATCCATCCTAATGGATGTGAAGTAGTTTCTCATTTTGGTTCTGATTGGTCTAAGATATAGAATATGTTGAACAACATTCATTTACCTGCTTTGGTAAAATGTCTGTTTGGATCCTTTGCCAATTTTAATATTGGATTATTTGTCTTCTTATTATTGAGTTGTAATATTCCTTAGATATGCTAGATACAAGTACCTTATTAGAAAATGATTTGTAAAAGTTTCCTCCCATTCTATGGATTGTCTTTTCACTTTCTTGATGGTGTCCTTTGAAGCACACACAAAAAATTAATTTTGGTGATGCCCAATTTATTAACTTTTTCCTTTGCTGCTTATACTTATGGTAACATATCAACTGCAACTTTATATGAAAATGCAGACCTCACTTTTTATTTTAATTTCTGGCAACATGGCAACTTTTTAAGCAGCTCAAGAGGACTTGTGATTCAAACAACATTAGTTGTCATCAAGATTACTGCGGTGTGCATTTCACATATAAGAGCTTTTTTCCTTTTTAATTTTAGGTTAATTCATTTAGTAAGATTACCAAGACTACAGCAAAAGCTATTTTTCAAAGCCATTTAATGTTCGATGTTAACAGTTGAGAAAAGTTGTTCTCGTTTAAAAAAATTTTCAATCACAGTCCTGAGCTCAAAAAGATTACGATAAAATTTTATCATTGCAAACCATTAAACTGCTGTGCAATAGGGCAAGTCAGGATAGTCAGCTTATATTTCTGACAAAAATTCACAAAACTAATGGTAGTTACATCCACCAGAGCAAATAAAGTTCACCGCTACTGGTTCAGCAACATACAATAGATTCAAGTATTTTCTGCAAAGTACTCGCTGGTAATAACGTCATGAACACCACAGGATATAAACACCTTGCTTTTCCATAAGCTTTGTAAATTTGTCCAAGTAAGCTTTTTTCTGCCACACCTATTTTTACTACTATCAGTTGTAATACATCTTAGCAGATTCCACTTCAGACTGCAATGGATTAGTGTTTTCTCAACTTCTTCGAAAATATTCTTGCTTATAGCTATTCCACACAGACTATTCATGATGGCTAGTTCTTCCGTCACTTCAAATTTGTCATTGACTTTGTGAATAAACAATAACTGAATAGTATTGTCAACATATGTCAATTCATCAAGAACCAAGGAAAACCACTTGAAATCATTTGCCTTGCTTTCTAATTGACAACTGATGTTGTTTCCAGTGTCTCAACTCTTTAAGCAATACTAAAAGGCTAATAGTTCTGTGCCAGTTATTTTCTTGGGACACAAATTTTTTGGCTACTGCAATCAAATTTAATTAACTCACCATCGGTAAAAAGCTTTCTTTGCTTGACTAACAAATGAGCCTCTAGGAAACTTACTTTGTGAAGACGTTTTTCTGTGATAAAATATTCTGTTTTCAATTTTCGAATTTTTTTGACCCTTTCATATCAGTTGAAAAAAATTGTGCTGCATGTTTAATCTTTTAATGGCGACACATATTCTTTTACCATAGCTGGTGTCGTTGCATAATAAAATACTTTATCATCTAATTTGATAATAAAATAGTCCACACATACTATGCCTTAAAGCACAGCATTCATAGTCTAATTTTATTTTCTTGTTTTGACATACTGGGTATGCATCTGTTAATAAAAGAAATAAAATAAAATATCATGGTACAGTACTATATATGGCACTCGAAACACGGCATCACTACAATTTGTAGTGCAGTAAGCAGAGGTATAAAGCAATGAAAGCGCCACATACAGTCTTTGTTGAAACTTCTAAATTCTGGCATTATAGTGTGAAAGCAGCCATAGGCAGATGTAAACTAATGAGTGTGGCTATCTTCCAATAAAACTTTATCAACATTGAAATTTGAATTTCATATAATTGTCACATGATAAACTATATCTTTCTTTGATTTTTTTTTGAACCATTTAAAAATGTGAACAACATTCTTAGCTCATGGGCCCTACAGAAACAGGCAGCAGGCTATCGTTTGCCTCTCTAGACAGTTGCTTTTTGTTTGTTCATTATGCCTGGTGTTGCAAATCACCAGACGTTAGGAAAGGATAAAACATCAGTAAATATAAACTCATGTCAGTGAACTTCCTTATCTTTGATATTTTGACTCCTTAAGTCCTGGCTGGTTTGGTTCATCCTAATGACTTCAAATCAGCTAGGTGATGTTTTATGTGGTTATTTCATCCAGCATTTACAGTTGTTTTTGATGGAAGGGTCAATCTGATATCAACACTTCATTAGAATGGAAAGCAAAGTCTATGAATGTTAACTTTAATCTGTTACTTTCAGTCACTACCATGAGCTTCTTTCCACACTGACACTTTTTCATAATGTTATAGCATTTCACTGGATGAATGCACCATGGCTTTATTTAACAATTCCCTATTTGGGGACATTGAGATGTTTCCAGCTTTTCACCATAATGAAGACACTTCTACAAGTTTCCTTGTATATCTGGTTAGTTCCCAGTATAAAATTCTAGAAGTGCATAGATGAGTCAGGGGTTCACACTTTTAAAGGTTTTTCATAGGTATTGCCAAACTTTCCTTCAGAAATGTCACACAGTGGCATGACCAGATGCTGTATTTTTCTTAGCACAGGAGCCAATGCTGGGTGTTGTTATTTGTTTCTACTTTTGCCAGTCCAACAGATGAAAAATGATATCTCTGTGCTGTTTCAATTTGCATTTCTTCAAGGTATGGTAAGCTGATAATGGCTCACTCCAAAGATATGTCCCTGTACTAATCCCCAGAATCTGTGAATGTTACCTTAAAAGGAAAAGGGGTCTTTGCAGATGTGATTAAGTTAAAGCTCTTGAGTGGGGAGATTATCCAAGATTATCTAGGTGGGTCCTAAATGACAATGCAAGTGTCTTTCCTTATAAGAGGCAGAGAAAAATTTGACAAAGACAAAGGAGAAGGCAATGTGACCACAGAGGCAGAAATTGGGGTGGTGAGATCTCAAGAAATGATTGCAACCACCAGTATCTGGAAGAGACAAGGAATATATTCTCCCTAGAGTCTCAAGAGAGAATATGGCCCTGCCAACACGTTGATTTTGATTTAGTGAAACTTGTTTCAGACTTCTGGCCTCCAGAACAGTAAGAGAATGCATTTCTGGTGTTTTAAGGCACCAAGTTTGCAGTGATTTGTTATAGGAACCATAGAAAACTAATACAATAGGTTTTCATATGTTTATGGACCATATGAAAAACCTTTTGATTTTTAAAAACTTATAAAAATGAAATATCACACAACAATAGGAACAGTATAATTCATTTATGTGCAAGTAAATCTGAATATCTGTATATGTGTTTACATGTGTACATATCTGCCTAGGAATATGTCTGGAAGGATGTATATCAAATCAGTAACAGGAGGGAGGTTAACTGGAGGGAGGAAAGGGAAGCAGGGAAAAAGGAACTTTTACTTTTTGTTCAAGATACTACTCAACATCTGTTTGAAAAAGTTTTATGAGAATGCATTCATGTGTTAATTGTATAAAAAATAGATAAGACATATATGTTTGTTATATACAATAAAATACGTAGAAAGTAAAAGAAAAAGACTGTTCCTCTCCTCTTGCCTATCTCTTTTTCCAGAAATATTGATAATTTGGTATGCATCTTCGCAGACTTTATGCAGAAATAAATATGTGTATGTAATTTTTTAAAATGA